TTTTGTCATACATTGACGTGACTCAGCCATGGATTTACATGTGTTCCCCATCCAGATCCCCCCTCCCACCTCCCTCTCCACCCGATCCCTCTGGGTCTTCCCAGTGCACCAGGTCCGAGCACTTGTCTCATGCATCCAACCTGGGCTGGTGATCTGTTTCACCCTAGATAATAAACGTGTGAAACCCCCCCTTTTTTTTAAATAGCCAGGTAATTCTTGAATTTTATCTAGCAATCCTAAAGCAGACTTTAAATTTTAGAACTATGTTAATTGATTTTGCATTCAATATGATAAATTTTTTTTCAATTATAACCCAGTAAGAAACAGAATGAAAGGAGAGAGGTTAAAGCCAGATTGAACTGTCTGCCTTTCTCTGGAGATGCCTTTTCATCATGTTTATCAGAGCCAAAGAAGTATTCTAATCAACTAGCAAAAAGTTTTTATTTTCATACCAAAATTGATCTTGGTTAATTCCAAACCAATTTGATGTAAAGAGTCACAGAAGGACTCAGACTTCTTTTAGGAATAATTAGAGGGGAAACAGTGAATCTAAACAGATAAACATGTGGGCTCACCTGAAGCAAGAAGACCCGTCAGTACTTCTCCTGTACACTGTCACTGTGTCCAGTGGAAGCAAATAGGCCTGAGGGGCAGGCTGACCTCCCAGTAGTCTGCCAGGCACACAGACTGACAGGTGAATTCCGACGTGAGACGTGCATGGCAGCCCCAGAAATGTCACGGGATGCCCCGAGCGTGAAATGTTGGTGCATGGGGTTCCCTAGTGTGAAAAGCTTGAACGCTTTATTTCTGATTTTCAGGAATTTGTAATTACTATGCAGCTCTGTATGTTCGATGTTGGGGTAGTTTCTACAGACTAGTGACTGGAAAGTCAGTGAGGCAGGACATACAGCTTCTGTGAATGTGTGGGGGACTAGGCCTGTGCCGCCCCCGAAAATAAGAATGCTGGTCTCTGCCTCTCTCCTTCCTAGTTCAGAGGCCTGTTGGGGATGCACGCTTCGTTTGCTTAGTATCTTCATGCTGCAGGTGGCTGGGAATTCTTAACCTGCATTGGTGACTTACTGTGTGGATACATGTTAGGTGGTACAGAAATTTTGCTTTTGATTTTTTGTGTAGAATAGTAATAATTAAGATCAGTAATGCATGTCTCCATCTCTACCCAGATAAGAGCAAATAGGGGCAAAGTTTGAAGTTTGCAAAATATATCACAGTAGGCTTAAAAATCCTTTCAATTTCAGACTTAGAGATGTTGAAAAATAGTGCAAAGAATCTCATAAGCCCTTCCCCTAGATTCCTGAATGTTAACATTTTACCTCATGTTTTCATCCTGTCTTTTTCTTTCTCTGTTGTGTGTGCTGTTCCCTGTCACACATTGCATACACTGTTATTTGTACATATGTGATGTGCCATGTTCTTCTTCCCTGAGTCCTGTAAGGGTAAGATGCAGATGTGATGGGGCTTCCCAGGGGGCTCCGTGGTAAAGAATCCATCTGCAATGTAGGAGATGGGGGTTTGATGCCTGGGTGGGGAAGATCCCCTGGTGGAGGGCAACCCACTCCAGTACTCTCGCCTGGAGGATCCCATGGACAGAGGAGCCTAGCGGCCTATCAATGGGGTCACAGAATGTCGGACACGACCAAGCATGTACACATGCAGATGTGATGCACTGTAACCCCTAAATACTTCAATGTGTGTTTCCTTATGAAAGGATATATAGCTCATACATAGCTTCAGTGCAGTTTTCAAAATCAGAAGATTGGCATCGATACTATTATTCAGTCACTATTCAGACGGTTCTCCAGGTTGCTGGTCGCCGCCCTGTGTCTGCCCATCCCAGGCAGGGAGTGAGTTCCACTGCGCATGTCGTTGTCTCCTTTTATCAAGTGCAGCTAGTCTTTCGTTGGTGACATATTTGAAGATCGCAAGACACTTACCGTAGAATTTCCCTCAGTTTCAGTTTTTTTTGTTTAGGCTTTTGGGGCAGACTGCCCCAGATGTCTTCCTGAGTGGTATCATAGAGGCTTTGATGTTTCCCTCCAAAAACATCTTCAAAATGACCATTTTTAATATTATCGTATAGAAGGTGGAGCCAGAGATGCTGAAATTTGTGAAGGTATTATAAATGCTGTCATTGTTTTTACTCTCCAGTCGCTTTTTCTTAAGGAAATTTATGGCCTTTCAGTTAGTTTTGACAAAGTGGAAATTACTGAATAAATCAGGATGGGGGAAGAAAGACCTAGAGCATGTAAAGGTCGCGGTGGAGGGTTTAGGGCTTGTGTTTTACGTGAGCAGGCATGGTCCATTGAGGGATTGGGCCTTTAAACCCTTCGCCAGAATGATAAATTATTTATCCTGGAGTGCTTCTGCCAAAACACTGAAGTCAGTACACTACTCTCCTGTTAGAATTTTACACCTTTCCAGGCCAAGCATTCAAATGTTGTAAGTGGAGAGGAAAGAGGGAACTCTGTTCTATCTGGTAGAAGTAAAGAAACGTTAAGTTCATTGTAGAATATTCAGTATTTGTTGTTGTTTAGTTGCTCAGTTGTGTCTGACTCTTTTGCGGCCCCATTTGGAACCCCGCCAGGCTCCTCTGTCCATGAAATTCTCCAGGCAAGATTACTGGAGTGGGTTACCATTTCCTCTTTCAGGGATCTTCCCAACCTACAGATCAAATCCGCATCTCTGAACAGATTCTTTACTGCTGAGGCACCAGGGAAGCCCAGTATTCAGTATTACATCGTTTGAAATACTAATAACCCTTTCTGTGGTAATGCTTGTTTCAGCTGCCTCTTTGAATGATCACAGGACAGAGCTTGCAGCCAGTGTAGTTGATTTACTTGTATCTGGACAGTGATAAAACGAGTCCTTGTGCTGACGTGGGGGCTCCGAGCGCCTCTCCCTCCCGCTCCTGGCTGATTTAGGAGCCTCTCCTGCTCTAACCTGGCACTGTTCACAGTGCTGGGCAAAGTGCAGGTTCTGGCTTTGCAGGGGTCGGTTTTTGTGAATAACTGAACATTTATGATAGTTTCTTTGTAAACAAAAGAGGACAAGTCCATTTAAATCATCAGACTGCAAGAGTAGTCTGGGGATTTTGTTGTTTGGAATTTTGGTTTTCCATAAAACCACAGAATAAACTAAATGGGTTTCTTTAGTCTCTCTTTATGGTGTTTGTTTAAACATTAGTATAGTGCCACTCCTTAAATTCTGTATCAATTCGTACATTTCTGTTAAAATGACATAGTTTTAGATGTTTAGTTTTTGGTATAAAATCTATTACTGCTACATAATTTGAAGATGTAATCTGTAATCAATTGTGTTAAGATCACCTGTTTGAAATTATAGGGGCTCAGATGTAAAAGAATCCACCTGCAGTGCAGGAGACCTAGGTTTGATCCCAGGGTTGGGAAGAGTCTGTGGAGGGGGGCATGGCAACCCACTCCAGTATTCTTGCCTGGAAAATTCTGTGGGCTGAGGATCCTGGCAGGCTATAGTCCTTGGGGCCGTAAAGAGTCAGACACAACTGAGCACATGCACATATGTATATGTGTGTATAGATATATCTACCACGGTTATGCAGAAAATTAAAGTTCCTTCTCTGCTTTTTCTAACAAATCTACTTCCCAGAGGTAACCATTATTGGCATGCTGTTTCATTTTGCTTCATAGTATTTTCTCTGTATTTAAATATACTATAAGCATAACTTTTAACCAAAATAAATTTTAACCAGATAATTTTCCAGTTAAAGTTGCTACTCTGCCTTTGAAAATAGGGTCAGGCATTAGGTGAAATCTTGCTCTTCTCCTGTAGATAAACTGTTACTGAAACACAGCCATAGTCACTCATCTGCATGTTGATAGGACTTCTTTTGTGCTGACGTGGCAGACTTAGACTCAGCATGGCAGAGTTGAGTAGTTGTGACTGTTCGGCCTCCAGAACCTAGCAGGTAGACCTTTTGGCTCTTTTGCCGACCCCTGTTTCAGATTGTGAGCACTCAGACGTTGTTTCGCTTCCGTCCTAGAGCTCGAGTGCGGTTCTGTGCCCGTACTGTGCAGTTTATGGGCTTACACAAGTGTAAGTGCAGGAAGAGTTCCCAGACTTGTGCTTGCTGGGTTGGACAGTATGTATGCAGCTTTCCCTTCTCAACGAGGTTGCACCAGTTGATACTGAACCTAATGATTTTGTTCTAGGACCTCTTTTCCCCATGTCTTTGCCAACTCAGTGCATTGGCCAACTTTTTAAATCTTTACCAGTCTGATAGAGGAGAATGATATTGTAGGTTTGCTCTGAGTTTCTTTTTTGTGTGTTAGATTGAATTTCTTTTCAAAATTAAGAGCCAGTTGTCTTTTTGTGAATTGTCTTTCAGCCCCCTTCCTTGTACCCTCAAGTCTGTTGTATAGTGGACGCTGGTCAAATGTTATGTATTGAGCTCTAGTGAGGGAGTCTGCTTCCTGGCACAGCTGATGTAGGCTTTTCAAGAGCGAGAGAGACATTGTCAGGGAGAGGAAGAACTTCCTCCTGGGACAGAATCTGATGGCAGAACCCACACTTCACTGAGCATTGTGTTTTCTCCTGGACAGAATGCAGTTGCCTTTTTGCAGGAGAGAGGTCATAATTTTCTTCAGTGTATCCATCTTCATCTTCTGTGTATCTGCCTTCAGTGTATCCATCCTCTGCCCTGTTCTCACTTTGTGGAGCCTGTGCCCTGCTGGGTGGTACCCGGGAAGTCCTGCAGAGCTCCCTTCCCAGGGCGTCCCTCAGATGACGTAGGAAGGTGGCTTCTCACGCTCTCCTGTGAGTGGGGCAGGATGTGCCCTAGCCCTTTTCCTTACTTCCAAGTTTGAGACGCATTTTCTTAACGCTTTCCTTCCTCTGTTGCTTGTAATCATTTCAGGTGATCCTCTTTCTTTAGGAATTACTGATGAGCCACGTAGCTCTCCATTGTCCTCACAGAACACACTCATTGTTCCTCCTTGGCTCTGCAGGGACTCACTACACAATGACCAACGGGGGCAGCATCAGCAGCTCCACGCACTTGCTGGACCTTCTGGACGAGCCCATCCCCGGGGTTGGCACCTATGATGACTTCCACACCATCGACTGGGTGCGAGAGAAGTGTAAAGACAGAGAAAGGCACCGACGGGTACGTTTGCTCAGCAATCTTTGCAACGGCAGCACACAGAGAGATCCTTGAACGATGTCTTTCTGCCAGTGATCTCAGGCTGCCAAAACATGCTGTATGTTAAAAGTGCACTAAGGTTCCACATATTACATAAGTAATACGGTTTTTACTCTATACTTTTTAAAGTTTCTTTATATCCTTTATCTTTCTGGAAGGGATTTGAAGCAGCTTACAATCAAAGAAGTAGAGGAAGGCAGAATAGGAGGGAAAGACAAAGGCCTATGAGTTGAGGAAGATTAAGCCAAGTTATGGAGGTAGCAGTCTGCTTGGCACTTGGCTTTGAGCCGCAGGCCAAAGAGGAAATGTGTTACATAATTGCAGTTGTTGGAAAAAGAAGCAGCTTACTGGGGAGAAAGTTTCCTGGGGCTTTGCTGTTTTATCTCCTTTCTTTGTTTTAAATCCTGAGCTGTTTCTCAAATTGAGTCCTGTGTGGACATATGGGAAGTTGTTGTAAAGTACTAATCAATAGAAGAATGGTTTCTGCTAAAAACTACAACGTATGTTATCTTTTTTGTTGTTTGTGGTTTATTGATAGTGTCATTCAAAAATTTTAAGAGAGAAAATCTCTTGAAAATAAAATTCCAAATTCTAAAAGGCCATTTGCAAATTTGAGCTCTGAAGTTAATTCATAGGTGTAATAATTGCTTGCACAAATGAGTTACTACCTTTCATAATAATGTTTATATATCTATTAAACCTGAAATTGGACTTATATTATATTGTTTATGAAAAGTACTGCTTCTGAGATTCATTAGTCAATATTCACCCTTGCTGGAAATATTATAAATAGGGTATAACTGAAAATAAGATGGTATACTATATTAGATGATAAAACTGAAAAATTTCAAAAACATTTATTCAAAAGTAACAATAACAAGCTCATTACATGTTAACACAAAAAATATTTTTATCAAAAATAGCTATTTTCCAACATAAAAAATATTTACTGAGAGAGCGACACTGGACTGCATTTTCATGAATCTCATTCAGTATTGTCTGGTTTCCTGATAACTACTGGATTCTCTTACCTGCTGCTGCAGACTGCTGTATGTTTTGACTGAAGTACATGAAGAGAATTCAGCTTCACAGCCGTGTAGTTGGAAAAGCCAGGAGTATTTTGATAGCCGTTTCAGGTCATTGTGGACTTTCTTCTTTGACACTGCAAGACAGTGACAGTGGTGTGTGGTTGGTCTTTGAAGGTTAGTTGCAGTGTGTGGCCTGAAACTGGATCAGTGAGCTGCTTGTCTTCGGTTACATTAAAGTCCTCTGGTTCCCCTTGAGCTTTGAGTGAACGATTTTGTGACATTATGCCATGATCCTTTGGCAAATACTGATTCACTGATTCATGCAGCTCTTTGAATAGTTGACATGGTCATTGTACCATATCAGTATACAGTATCAAAAAAGCCACATTCATTAATGGCAACACTAATCTCCTCAGAAAAGTCTTTTAACTATTGGGATCTGTCACTCTTAAAGTAATGGATATAAGTTCTCTAAAATTCTTACTTTTACTTTCAAGCTCAAAATCTGTCATTAGAACCAAATACACATTTTACTTGAAATGACAGGCTTACTTGGTTTGTTTTTTGAGAAAAATACCTGTCAAATTTCCAAGTCTGAAAAACCATAGTTCCGGTATTTTTCTTTCAAGTAAGAATGGCGCTCCGTGAAAGTGGTTTATGCTGCAGCCCAAATAGACCACACAGAGGCTTTTCCTCAGGCATCCCCTCCTTCACGATGTGTGAGAAGTGCTGTGTGTGCAGTCTTTACACGTAGTATTCAGGAGTTGCACTTCGAGTGTTACGGTTTGTCCCTTCATTTTTTAAATAATTTTTTATATTTTTTGTAAATACATATTTATATACTTATTTTTCTTAGATAAATGGTAGCATCCTATATACATGAATGCCTTGCTTTTCTCCTCCACATGATACTGCATTTATCTCATTCTTTGTTAACGACTACAGAGTTTCTCATGACATAGATGTAACTGCAGTTTATTTAACCAATATTGTATTGATGAACGTTTAGATGGCTTTCAAATTTTTGCTTAATATTGTATTTTATTAAACACTGCAGTTTTAAGAAAAAGCAATGTGAGATTTCTTGTTTTTGAAAGGAATGACCTACCTTCAACACTAAAGAAAGGTGAATAGCTGATTGGTTGCTTATAACATAGGAGTAAAATTGCCTCATTCAGCCTTTTGAATGTGGCCTTGTGGCTTGAAATAGACCAGATGTTTGAAAGAGACCAGACCATTGAATTCCGGCTGCAGCCCTCCCGTAGGACGCCGGAGCAGGGCTTGCCTGGCCTGAGAGTGTGGCGTGTGGAGCATCCGGGCAGCAGGACAGGGAGGGGTGGGCGGGCTCGGGGGGCTTCTCGTGAAGCCCACACTCAGAGAGAGCAGGCGGGCCCTGGGCGTCTGAGGGTGAGAGCTGGCAGCAGGTCTGTCAGCGCCCGCTGCTCTGACTCCTCCGCCTCACGCAGCGACGACACCCTGCCTGTGGCGTCGGCGCACTGGCAGGCTCCAGGCCTGAACGCTTCGGCAGTCCCTTTGTTCACAGGATTGTGGTGGTCTACGTTCACGGGCACAGTACTGTTCGTCACTGCCCATGCCTTTTAGGACCACTACATTCTGCTTAACTGCTAGAACTAGAGAAGGAGCAGGGAGTGACGGCCACTTCGAGCTGTGATGTCTTATTTCTGTCACTATAAAAGGTGTATGCCAGCTAACTTCGGTGCAGTCTGAAGCATCTGGGTCAGCGTCTGTGTGGACTGTGGGGCCCTTGCTCTCATTCTGAGGTTCTGGGTCAGTGCTTGTCATCTGGTTCACAGGTGCGGCAGCTGTCTGACCTGCTGTTTCTGCCCCAAACTCACTCCATTAGTTAGTTGAGAAAGGACTGTTCCATGTATAGTAACTGAGGAAATTGTTGGATTCTAGAATTGTGGCTGCTACTCATAGTTTGAAAAATGAAGCATGACCATTTCTAATTTCAGATCAACAGCAAAAAGAAAGAATCAGCATGGGAAATGACGAAAAGCTTGTATGATGCGTGGTCAGGGTGGCTCGTGGTGACACTGACAGGATTGGCATCAGGTAAAGAGAACTTTTAATGCAATGCTGCTCTGGTTAACAGGACAGTAAATAGTTCTCCCCCCCTTCCTGCAGATTTTTTTTTCTCAGAAACTTTTGGATTTTTAGAAGCATTTGTTTTGTTTCTTTCCTTCAAAAAAACATCCTTAAATGTAAGAGTGGGAGGCGGGAAGCTCAGAGCTCTGGGCTTGGCTCGATCACCTTAAGTGTCCAATTTGATCTTTCTCACTCATTGTCTTTATCTGTAAAATACCTAGTCTGTACCAGATGGTCAGTAAAGTGTATTTTAGTGTTAACATCATAATAAATAGGTAGTATTTATTGAGTGCTTCCTATGGGTCATGCCCTGTTCCAAAAGCTTTGCGTGTGTGTAAACCTCACGGCAATCCCATGGTCTGAGTCGTACAGATGAGGGGACTACGCTCAGAGAGATTAAGTGACTTGACCGAGGTGTCACAGCTCGAGGGTGGTCAAGCCACCATCAGGGCCGAACTTCAAGCTCCACGTGGGCTGCAGAGCGCCGCGCCCAGCGGTCGTGGGCGAGGCTGGAATAGCAGGGGAAGATGTGAAAACCAGTAGGAAGGGCTGTTTTACTGACTTTGAGCTCCCACCATGGAAGATTATGTCCTGAAGAACATGACAGAAAAATATACAATTGTGGAGAGAAGAGAGGGAAGTCCTGAGATTCTGAGGTGTTTATGTGACCCGTTTACCTTCTTATATGAGAAGGACTTAGATTTTGACCATCAGTTTGTATATTCTTTGTATTCTATCTGTAAGATGATCTTGATATGTTTGATTTTTCTGTTAAAAGAAAAGCCTGATTATTTGTCACAGTAATTCATTCACGCCATGAGTTTCACGAAATCTAATGGTTATTCCATTAATAGTGAGCTCGAGATCTTTTGTAAATCTATGAATTGGGTTTCCAATTAAAAAACACCAGTAAAAACTCTGATGTCACAGCCAGAGATGAGGCCCTTCTGCCGAGGGACAGCCTTTGAAAGAGTCAGGCACATTTAAAAAGTTACAGTCAATTTGAATCACATAACTAGTTTTAATTTCAAAGAAGAACAATTCTATTTTAAAGAATAGCTATTTACAGTTAAGTAGTATAAGTGTACATACAGTAAGATTTAGTTTTGTGTAGTGTTCCCCGTATGACCATTTATTGTAGGGCATCCCCAGCTCTCCTTGACCCTGTAATTTGACAGTTTAGGACACCCCAGAAGTGGACCATCTTCAGCGCCTCCAACATCTTTTGCAGGGGCACTGGCTGGGTTAATAGACATTGCGGCCGACTGGATGACGGACCTGAAGGAGGGTATCTGCCTGAGTGCGCTCTGGTACAACCACGAGCAGTGCTGCTGGGGGTCCAACGAAACCACGTTCGAAGAGAGGGACAAGTGTCCGCAGTGGAAAACGTGGGCAGAGTTGATCATAGGCCAGGCCGAGGTGAGTCCTGCCCTGTATCCGAGTGGATTAACAGTCAGTACAGTGAAGCCAGTCTCCAGTTCATTTAACAAGCTAGAGGACTGCACCTGTCCTAAAGGGAAATAGAGAAGTGTGACAGGGTGGAATGGAAAATATGAGACTGCATTGCTGTGAGTAAAATTTAAGTATTGTTTCAGAAGCTGTGGTATTAGTAAACTGCATAATCACAAACAAGTCTACTGCGTTATGATGTAAACTATGCTTTTGCTGTGGAAAAGAAGTGCAGTAGGAGCTGTATAACCACAGAAGGTTAATATGAAGCCAAGTTATCAAAACTGCTCATTAACATTATTATATCACAATTGTTTGGGAAATATAGGTTATCAAAAATTGTAAAGTAAGTCTTTTAACTGGAGATAATTTTATAGAAATCCCTAGATTTTTCCTTGTGGCATTACAGTATTTACATGATTATTTTACTGTTGATGATATTTTATGAAGAACATTTAAAAGTCAGAATATCATATATATGTATGAAGAACATTTTAGAAGTTAGAATAGTGTATATATATATATGTTTCATATATATATGTTCTTGAGGAGCTATGGATATGTTTTTAAAATTTTCTTGTAGTTGAATCTTAGAGCTGGAAAGAATGTATCTGCTGGTGAGATGGGCAGTGTACTGTCTCCCACTTTATCTCCAGAATTGCTGCAGAATGAAAGCTGAGTGTGAAGGCAGTTTTGTCTTCACCAACTGTTTTCAAAAACTGGTTTGTGGGTTGGCAGAGATTGAAGTGCAGCTGAGATTCTTGGCAACAAGACTTTGGGGATCAGGAAGCAGCTAGGGAAAATATTAAATAGATTGTCTCCTGTGTATACAAATATGTTTTAGGTTCTACTTAAATAGTTTGCTCCGTAAAGCTGTTACAGTTGTGGCAGTAAACCACGAGCCTTTGCAGAGTTTGCTGCCAGTTGCCTAGGTGGCAAGCCCTGGGATTAGCAGTGCCCGTCAGCAATCAGTAAGTTCGTTCTGTTGAACCCTTTGGTTTCAGGGTCCTGGCTCCTACATCATGAACTACATGATGTACATCTTCTGGGCCTTGAGTTTCGCCTTCCTGGCTGTCTCCCTGGTGAAGGTGTTTGCGCCATACGCCTGTGGCTCTGGGATCCCAGAGGTAAGCCCTGCAGTGCTCAGTGCCCCAACATTCTGTGGTCCTGATGCTTACATTGTTGCCCATGGGAGGCAGAGTGATGGTTTTGCTGGGGAAACAGTTTGTCTGTCACACTAGAAAGAAAATTTTTAAAATATCCACTGATAGTAGACTGTGGTATTAGTAAACTTGAAAGAAATCCTTCCCCATAGTCATTTCATTGTTTTCTGGAGAGGTCGACTGGTTTTTTTTTTCTTCTCACTGATAATGTAGTACATAACTAAACAAATATTAGCACTCAGTTAAACACCAAGAACTTGGAAATGTCAGCCTAAAATTCTTCCTTGAATTAGTTGATGTTTTTCTCTTATGAGTTGGATTTGAACATATTCTCTTTTTATAACATTTTTAATTAGATAAGATAATCCTTGAACTTGGCAAATAATATTTATAACAATTTTATACTTTAAATATTTGATCATAATATAAAGTTTGAGGTTTTATTTTTTATCAGTAATAACGTGAAGAATACATTTAGGATTGAACATGAACTTACTTCTTTTTTCCCCCCTTTTAATTTTTCTGTCTTAAATAAGTTACTGGCTTTTTCTAGTGCATAGCTTTTATTTATTTATTTTCTTTCCATTTATTTTTATTAGTTGGAGGCTAATTACTTTACAATATTGTAGTGGTTTTTGCCATACATTGACATGAATCAGCCATGGATTTACATGTATTCCCCATCCCGATCCCCCCTCACGCCTCACTCCCCATCCCATCCCTCTGGGTCTTCCCAGTGCACCAGCCCCGAGCACTTGTCTCATGCATCCAACCTGGGCTGGTGATCTGTTTCACCCTTGATAATATACATGTTTCGATGCTGTTCTCTCGAAACATCCCACCCTCGCCTTCTCCCACAGAGTCCAAACGTCTGTTCTGTACGTCTGTGTCTCTTTTTCTGTTTTGCATATAGGGTTATTATCATCTTTCTAAATTCCATATATATGCGTTAGTGTACTGTATTGGTCTTTATCTTTCTGGCTTACTTCTCTCTGTATAATGGGCTCCAGTTTCATCCATCTCATTAGAACTGATTCAAATGAATTCTTTTTAATGGCTGAGTAATATTCCATGGTGTATATGTACCACAGCTTCCTTATCCATTCGTCTGCTGATGGGCATCTAGGTTGCTTCCATGTCCTGGCTATTATAAACAGTGCTGCGATGAACATTGGGGTGCACGTGTCTCTTTCAGATCTGGTTTCCTCGGTGTGTATGCCCAGAAGTGAGATTGCCGGGTCATGTGGCAGTTCTATTTCCAGTTTTTTAAAGAAATCTCCACACTGTTCTCCATAGTGGCTGTACTAGTTTGCCTTCCCACCAACAGTGTAAGAGGGTTCCCTATTCTCCACACCCTCTCCGGCATTTATTGCTTGTAGACTTTTAGATAGTAGACATCCTGACTGGTGTGTAATGGTATCTCATTGTGGTTTTTATTTGCATTTCTCTGATAATGAGTGATGTTGAGCATCTTTTCATGTGTTTGTTAGCCATCTGTATGTCTTTGGAAAAATGTCTGTTTAGTTCTTGGGCCCATTTTTTGATTGGGTCATTTGTTATTCTGGAATTGAGCTGCAGGAGTTGCTTGTTTCTGAGATTAATCCTTTGTCTGTTTCTTCATTTGCTATTATTTTCTCCCAATCTGAGGGCTGTCTTTTCACCTTGTTTATAGTTTCCTTTGTTGTGCAAAAGCTTTTAAGTTTCATTAGGTCCCATTTGTTTATTTTTGCTTTTATTGCCAATATTCTGGGAGGTGGGTCATAGAGAATCCTGCTGTGATTTATGTCGGAGAGTGTTTTGCCTATGTTCTCCTCTAGGAGTTTTATAGTCTCTGGTCTTACATTTAGATCTTTAATCCATTTTGAGTTTATTTTTGTGTATGGTGTTAGAAAGTGTTCTAGTTTCATTCTTTTACAAGTGGTTGACCTGTTTTCCCAGCGCCACTTGTTAAAGAGGTTGTCTTTTTTCCATTGTATATCCTTGCCTCCTTTGTCGAAGATAAGGTGACCATAGGTTCGTAGATTTATCTCTGGGCTTTCTATTTTGTTCCATTGATCTATATTTCTGTCTTTGTGCCAGTACCATACTGTCTTGATGACTGTGGCTTTGTAGTAGAGCCTGAAGTCAGGCCGGTTTATTCCTCCAGTTCCATTCTTCTTTCTCAAGATTACTTTGGCTATTCGAGGTTTTTTGTGTTTCCATACAAACTGTGAAATTATTTGTTCTGGTTCTGTGAAGAATACTGTTGGTAGCTTGATAGGGATTGCATTGAATCTATAGATTGCTTTGGGTAGTATAGCCATTTTGACAATATTGATTCTTCCAATCCATGAACATGGTATATTTCTCCATCTATTTGTGTTCTCTTTGATTTCTTTCATCAGTGTTTTATAGTTTTCTATGTATAGGTCTTTTGTTTCTTTAGGGAGATATACTCCTAAGTATTTTATCTTTTGTTGCAATGATGAATGGTATGGTTTCCTTAATTTCTCTTTCTGTTTTCTCATTGTTAGTGTATAGGAATGCAAGGGATTTCTGTGTGTTAATTTTATATCCTGCAACTTTACTATATTCGTTGATTAGCTCCAGTAATTTTCTGGTAGAGTCTTCAGGGTTTTCTATGTAGAGGATCATGTCATCTGCAAACAGTAAGAGTTTCACTTCTTCTTTTCCTATCTGGATTCCTTTTACTTCTTTTTCTGCTCTGATTGCTGTGGCCAAAACTTCCAAAACTATGTTGAATAGTAGTGGTGAGAGTGGGCACCCTTGTTTTGTTCCTGATTTCAGGGGAAATGCTGTCAATTTTTCACCATTGAGGGTAATACTTGCTGTGGGTTTGTCATATATAGCTTTTATTATGTTGAGGTATGTTCCTTCTATTCCTGCTTTCTGGAGAGTTTTAATCATAAAAGGATGTTGAATTTTGTCAAAGGCTTTTTCTGCATCTATTGAGATAATCATATGGTTTTTATCTTTCAATTTGTTAATGTGGTGTATTACATTGATTGATTTGCGGATATTAAAGAATCCTTGCATTCCTAGGATAAAGCCCATTTGGTCATGATGTATGATTTTTTTAATATGTTGTTGGATTCTGTTTGCTAGAATTTTGTTAAGGATTTTTGCATCTATGTTCATCAGTGATATTGGCCTGTAGTTTTCTTTTTTCTCGTGGCATCTTTGTCTGGTTTTGGAATTAGGGTGATGGTGGCCTCATAGAAAGAGTTTGGAAGTTTACCTTCTTCTGCAATTTTTTGGAAGAGTTTGAGTAAGATAGGTGTTAGCTCTTCTCTAAATTTTTGGTAGAATTCAGCTGTGAAGCCATCTGGTCCTGGGCTTTGTTTGCTGGAAGATTTCTGATTACCGTTTCGATTTCCTTGCTTGTGATGGGTCTGTTAAGATCTTCTGTTTCTTCCTGGTTCAGTTTTGGAAAGTTATACTTTTCTAAGAATTTGTCCATTTCTTCAAAGTTGTCCATTTTCTTGGCATAGAGCTGCTGGTAGTAGTCTCTTATGATCCTTTGTATTTCAGTGTTGTCTGTTGTGATCTCTCCATTTTCATTTCTAATTTTGTTAATTTGGTTCTTCTCCCTTTGTTTCTTAATGAGTCTTGCTAATGGTTTGTCAATTTTGTTTATTTTTTTTCAAAAAACCAGCTTTTAGCTTTGTTGATTTTTGCTATGGTCTCTTTAGTTTCTTTTGAATTTATTTCTGCCCTAATTTTTAAGATTTCTTTCCTTCTACTAACCCTGGGGTTCTTCATTTCTTCCTTCTCTAGTTGCTTTAGGTGTAGAGTTAGGTTATTTATTTGACTTTTTTCTTGTTTCTTGAGGTAGGCCTGTAATGCTATGAATCTTCCCCTTAGCACTGCTTTTACAGTGTCCCATAGGTTTTGGGTTGTTGTGTTTTCATTTTCATTCATTTCTATGCATATTTTGATTTCTTCTATGATTTGTTGGTTATTCAGAAGCATATTATTTAGCCTCTATATGTCTGAATTTTTAATAATTTTTTTCCTGTAACTGAGATCTAATCTTACTGCACTGTGGTCAGAAAAGATGACTGGAATGATTTCAGTTTTTTTGAATTTACCAAGACTAGATTTATGGCCCAGCATGTGATCTGTTCTGGAGAAGGTTCTGTGTGCACTTGAGAAAAAGGTGAAGTTGATTGTTTTGGGGTGAAATGTCCTATAGATATCAATTAGGTCCAGCTGGTCCATGTCATTTAAAGTTTGTGTTTCCTTGTTCATTTTCTGTTTAGTTGATCTATCCATAGTTGTGAGTGGGGTATTAAAGTCTCTCACTATTATTGTGTTACTGTTAATTTCCCCTTTCATACTCATTAGCATTTGCCTTACATATTGTGGTGCTCCTATGTTGGGTGCATATATATTTATAATTGTTATTTCTTCTTCTTGGATTGATCCTTTGATCATTATGTAGTGTCCTTCTTTGTCTCTTTTCATAGCCTTTATTTTAAAGTCTATTTTATCTGATATGAGTATTGCGACTCCTGCTTTCTTTTGGTCTCCGTTTACCTGAAATATTTTTTTCCAGCCCTTCACTTTGAGTCTGTATGTGTCCCTTGTTTTGAGGTGGGTCTCTTGTGGACAGCATATATAGGGGTCTTGTTTTTGTATCCATTCAGCCAGCCTTTGTCTTTTGGTTGGGGCATTCAACCCATTTACATTTAAGGTAATTATCGATAGGTATGGTCCTGTTGCCATTTACTTTGTTGTTTTGGGTTCGTGTTTATACAACCTTTCTGTGTTTCCTGTCTAGAGAAGATCCTTTAACATTTGTTGAAGAGCTGGTTTGGTGGTGCTGAATTATCTCAGCTTTTGCTTGTCTGTAAAGCTTTTGAATTCTCCTTCATATCTGAATGAGATCCTTGCTGGGTACAGTAATCTAGGTTGTAGGTTATTCTCTTTCATTACTTTAAGTATGTCCTGCCATTCCCTTCTGGCCTGAAGGGTTTCTATTGATAGATCAGCTGGTATCCTTATGGGAATCCCTTTGTGTGTTGTTGTTTCTCCCTTGCTGCTTTTAATATTTGTTCTTTGTGTTTGATCTTTGTTAATTTGATTAATATGTGTCTTGGGGTGTTTCGCCTTGGGTTTATCCTGTTTGGGACTCTCTGGGTTTCTTGGACCTGTGTGACTATTTCCTTCCCCATTTTAGGGAAGTTTTCAGCTATTATCTCCTCGAGTATTTTCTCATGGCCTTTCTTTTTGTCTTCTTCTGGGACTCCTATGATTCAAATGTTGGGGCATTTCACATTGTCCCAGAGGTCCCTGAGGTTGTCCTCATTTCTTTTGATTCTTTTTTCTTTTTTCCTCTCTGCTTCATTTATTTCCACCATTTTATCTTCTCCCTCACTTATCCTATCTTCTGTCTCTGTTGTTCTATTGTTGGTTCCCTCCAGAGTGTTTTTTATCTCATTTATTGCTTTATTCATTTTTAATTGACTTTTTTATTTCTTCTAGGTCCTTATTAAACATTTCTTGCATCTTCTCAATCTTTGTCTCCAGGCTATTTATTTGTAACTCCATTTTGTTTTCAAGATTTTGGATCATTTTTATTTTCAATATTCTAAATTCTTTTTCAGGTAGATTCCCTATCTCCTCCTCTTTTGTTTGACTTGGTGGGCATTTTTCATGTTCCTTTACCTGTTGGGTATTTCTCTGCCTTTTCATCTTGTTTAGATTGCTGTGTCTGGAGTGGCCTTTCTGTATTCTGGTGGTCTGTGGTTCCTTTTTATTGTGGAGGTTTCTCCCAGTGGGTGGGGTTGGACAGTTGGCTTGTCAAGGTTTCCTGGTTAGGGAAGCTTGCGTAGGTGTTCTGGTGTGTGGAACTGGATTTCTTCTCTCTGGAGTGCAATGGAGTGTCCAATAGTGAGTTTTGAGATGGGTCTGTGTGTTAGGTGTGACTTTGGGTAGCCTGTATGTTGACGCTCTGGGCTATGTTCCTGCATTGCTGGAAAATTTGTGTGGTATGTCTTGCTCTGGAGCTTATTGGCTCTTTGGTGGTGGTTGGTTTTGGTGTAGGTATGGAGGCTTTTGGATGATCTCTTATTGCTTAATGTTCCCTGTAGTCAGGAGTTTTCTGGTGTTCTCAGGTTTTGGGCTTAAGTCTCCTGCCTCTGGGTTTCAGTCTTATTCTTCCAATAGCCTCAAGACTTCTCCAACTATACTGCACTGATAATAAAACTTCTAGGTTAGTGGTGAAAAGATTCTCCCCCGTGAGGGACACCCAGAGAGGTTCACAGAGTTACATGAAGAAGAGGAGAGGGAGGAGGGAGATAGAGGTGAGCAGGAGGAGAAAAGGGGGACTCAAGAGGAGAAACAGATCTACACAGTTATCTGTTCCCAGAGTGTTCTCCATGGCCCAGACACCCACAGAGATTCACAGAATTGGATTGGGAAGAGAAGGGGGAGGGAGGAAATAGAGGTGATCTGAGGGAAAAAACGGAGAGTCAAAAGTGGGAGAGAGTAATCAACACACTCCTGAGTAAAAATGGGTACTGAATATTGGATTCTTAAATGTCCAAAATTGATATCAAATACTGAAAAACAAATATTAAAAATCTAGAGTAGAGATTAGACTCTTAAAAATACAATATTAAAAACAAAAAGACAAAAAAATTTAAGAAATATATATGAAGTTCGATTTAAAAATAGGGCCTCTTTTTTTTTTTTTGGAAAGGTTATAGTGAAATGAAAATTAAGGAGTAATAGAGGAGTAATATGAGGACTTTAAAAGAAAAGAGAAAAAAAAACTTTTTTTAATTAAAAAATAGTAAAAATATGAAAATGAAAGTTGAGGAGTAATAGGGAATTTTAAAAGAAAATAAAAGAGAAAAAATTAGAAAAGAAAAAAGTTTTTTTTTAATTAAAAAAAAAAGTAAAAATATATCTAGGAATTTCTCCGGAGCTGTTGCCGGCAGTGTGGGTTTGGTTCAGTTTCAGAAAGCTCCTCGTTCCAGCTTACACTTCTTGATATCTGTAGGCCCCTTCCAGTGTAGTCGGTGTTAACTACAGGGATTTTAATCTGTTGCACCTGTCACTTCTGAAGTGGTTCCCTTTGTTTATTTGGCTTCTGTTTGCCAGTCTCTTCAGTGTCTAATTTCCGCCCTGACACAGGCGGGCGGAGGTGGTCTCTTGTTTAGGTTGCTTGTTCAGTGGTGCTGCGGGGAGGGAGGGCGCTGCAGACAAATGTCACCGGCCTGTGTGGGGGGCGCTCGCAGTGTTCCGGCCACCCTGGGTTTGCCCCGCTCACAGCGCGTGTGCTACACTGCTCAGGCTCCAGGCTGCTTTCCAGGGAGTGGGCCCTGCGTGGCATGCGGTTCCCGTTTTCGTGTACTCCGCAAAAGCGCAGACTCGGTTGGGCCTTCCTTTTGTGCCTTCCCCTCCCGAGCAGCTCAGGCATCCAGGAGCTTGACTAGCGCACTCTCCCCGAGTGCGGCGCGCCTTATCCCCTCCGCGGTCCCAGCCTCAGTTTCCACACGTGCTGGTCGGGTGCGCCTTGTGTCTGTTCTGGGGAACTGGTCTCTAGCCGCACCCCTCCCGGCGGATGTCAACCATCCAGACTCTCTGGAAGTCTTTGGTTAGAAACTGGGAGCCTGTTTGCAGTTTGGTAGGGGGTACCGTCTCTGGGGCCGAGTTTGCCCCTTTCCCCTCCCCCCTGCCTCCGTGGGGGATGGGCTGGTCCGCTGCCAGCTAGCTCTTCTCTGGGATCGCTCAGTTCTTCCTTTGTTCGGCGAACGGGACCGGGGTGTGTTCGGGCCAGTTAATTTTCTCTCTCTCGCTTGCTATCCCACAGTTTAAGTTGCTATCTCATGTTAGCTCCATCCGATTGCCCTTAGGGCATTCAGGCCCGGTCTAAGCAATGCCCTGCTCCTGTCCGTTCCGCCCCCACTTGCTGGTGGCGGATGCGGGCGTCTGGGGTACTTTTCTGCTGGGAGTTGCTTTTAGGCATGTAATCTGTGGGTTTTATTTATTTTTTCTCCCAGTTAGGTTGCCCTCCGAGAATCGAAAACTTCCCCCAGACCCGCCAGTGCGAGGGTTTCCTGGTGTTTGGAAACTTCCTCTATTAAGACTCCCTTCCCAGGATGGGTCTCCGTCCCTAGCTCTTCTGTCTCCCTTTTTATCTTTTATATTTTGTCCTACCTCCCTTCGAAGACAATGGGCTGCTTTTCTGGGCGCCTGACGTCCTCTGCTCGCGATCAGAAGTTGTTTTGAGAAGCTTGCTCAGCGTTCAGTTGTTCTTTCGATGAATTTGTGGGGGAGAAAGTGGCCTCCCCGTCCTGTCCCTCCGCCATCTTGGCTCCTCCTGGTGCATAGCTTTTCAAAGCAGTGTTAGCGACTGTAAAGCTGTATCAAGAACATCTTTAATACGGAGCAATACCATATAGTATTCACCGGTTGTCACACATCCTTCTTAATATATAAGAAAGTGTTACACATAATTACACATTCTACTATGAGAAGACATAATATCTTTAAAGGCAGATACCTTTATTTCTGACATAGAGTGTCTGAAATGTATCTAACTATTATATTTCTATAGTAGAAATATTGCAATTTGCCATTAGCTGGTTATGTGATTGTACAGGGGTGTACTGAAGTCTGTAGCCCCTTAACATGGCCTGGTATTTCAGTTTTGTTCATGAGCTAGGGCTGCAGCCTTCTGCCCTTGCAGAGGAAGAGAGTGAGAATTTATTATATAGAGCATAATAGTTCAGACTATCAGAAAATGAATTGTGAATCTTCCCCTTGCCCACTGAAATTTGCAGTTTCTTAAAGGAAATTAAGCTCCTTTGATCTTTCCTTTGTAGATTAAAACTATTTTGAGTGGATTCATCATCCGAGGCTACTTGGGAAAATGGACTTTAATGATTAAAACCATCACATTGGTACTGGCTGTGGCATCAGGCTTGAGTTTAGGAAAAGAAGGGCCCTTGGTCCATGTTGCCTGTTGCTGTGGAAACATCTTTTCCTACCTCTTTCCGAAGTACAGCACAAATGAAGCGAAAAAAAGAGAGGTAAGTGTATTCTGTCCTTTATTTAATGGGTGAATATCCATTACATACACTTAGTCCGTGAACAGTTTCACATATTTTACTCTCTACTTTTTGGGTAACTGCTGTACTCAGATTCCAGTTGTAACGTGAGGCTTCCTTGTGCTCCTTCCCCCTTTCTGAATGCTCTCTAGAGTTGGCCTGGGGTCTGTTGGTTTCAGTAAGATTTCAGAAGTATTTTCCTTTGCTTTAGCTTTACTTTACACCTTTCCTCCTCTGACGTGTCCCCCAGGTGTTGCGTTGCTTTCTCTCCTGGTTCTCCCCGTCACTGTTTCTCCTGGGGCGAGGCATCTCACCAGCTGTTTTCCTCTGGAGGAGGGGTGCCACCTCAGGGAGCTTGCTGCTCCTTGGGGAACCCAGAGGGCGTCAGAACCACCTCAGGTTGATACTGGTTCACAGTGAGGGGCATGTAGCACCTGCTCTTACTCGGCTCTTTAGGGCAGCTTCCTTTGCCCTTTTGTTTAGGTCATCCTGAGATCATGGAGACATTGAAACCTGATGTTTCCAGGTAGCAGTGGATATTTTCTAGAAGAAAAGTGGGCTCCTTGCACCTTCTTATTAGCTCCAGACTGTGGGAGCCCTGGCTCTCTGTTTCCCTGTCTAGTCTGCATTTGTCAGTTCATTTCCATTACTTGGTGTTGGACCTTGACATTGTGGGGGAAGACTTGTTATTTGTTCATTATAAGTGCAAAAATTACCTTATTAGGTAATAGTATAGAAATTAACTTTACCAGGATTTTGGTGTATACACATTGTGATGTTTATGACTTAACTTGATTCTGACACCTTGGGGTTTGCATAACTGGCTTTCACGTTAATTGAAAGCATTTAGGCCTCATATTTTTATTTTCTTCCTTTGCCCACTTCTTTTGATATGTTTAAATGATTCTTGGATACTTACATGAAACAAATTAAAACATCTGTGAGTTGTAGATATGTAGGTGCTAGCTTGATTGTAAATTCTGTTAAAGGTAGAATCAGAAAATTCTGTAAGGTGTGTTGTCTGCAGTCGTGTTGGTGGGGAAGAGACACTGAAATATTAAGTTAGACTTGCTCCTCCCTGCCAGAGTCTGCATTCTCAGGCCAGGTACAGTTTAATTAAAACAAGTATTGGTTCATTTTTAATTTACCAACTAGCAGCCTGACTATGGAGTTCATGCTCATAACACTTTTAATTTTTTTATTACTTAAGATTTCTCTTTCAAAGATGTACACATTCAGCATTTGAGGAAATGCATTGGTAGCCTCAGATATTGCTGGAGTAAAGTAGTAGAAGGAATAAAGACTCTTCAGAAAAGTGGTTAATTATGAGTAAATGCCCAGTGACTTTATGTATGTTTGGCTTCATGCTGGTGGGAGTTGGGGGGGGACCCTGAGTTCTGTTCCTTCCTTCCCGTGACCTGTGTGTTGGGGCTCTGGACGGTCAGCCTGGGCCCTCAGGGGCAGCTGAGGTTTGCACCTTCACGTGAGGCTCCTGTGGTGGCAGCAGCCATCTCTTCAGAGGACTCAGTTGACTGAAAATGTAGGGAAACGTGATGGGTTTGCAGTTCCCTGGACATTTTACTAGGATGTGGACTGAAGTAATGATAGTGATGAAGCAGTGAGCCCTGAAGTCTGAAGAAATGATATCCTGTTTAAAAACAAACGGCTCTGCCTGAGCCCCAGTCCTGGCTCTGTCTGCTGGTCTTCTCACCCAGGCATCTTGGCCGTTGAATTCATTGCCTTTTCTCCTCTACATCCTGTTTACGTCGGTGTATCTCACACAAATGTTTTTTGACCAAGTATTGAATATTTGAATGACTTTTCAATTAAAGCAGAAGAGAAAAAAGTCTTTTTAGAAGAAATATTTGTGTTTGCTTGGAGAGGAAGGTGACATGGGAGTTAGGTTCGGAAGGGATTAGACGCTCTGAGGACCACGCAGACACTGGGCTGCTGAGTCTGTGAGAGCGTGACATGGCCGCATCTTCTTCACAGGTGCTGTCGGCTGCCTCCGCTGCAGGCGTCTCTGTGGCTTTTGGTGCGCCGATCGGAGGAGTGCTGTTCAGTCTGGAAGAGGTAGGTTAAGATGATAGCCGCCACCAGGAGCAAAATGATGCACAAGCACCGTTGGTGTGTTATGCCGCACTTCTCAGTCTTGTTAGCCGGTGTGATAGATACTTTGTTTTTAAGTTTTCAAATTTGTTTTCATAGCTACTTTTCACTCTTTCTTACATTAAAAAGTCATAAAAAGTAATATGTATGTTTATTGAGACTTTTTAAAAAAATATTGTCCATGTATAAATGTGATTATTTAAAATTTAACCTTTTTGACATGATTAAAAGTAAGCACGAATGAATTAGACTTAATACAAAATATTTGAAACAGTCCTTATTTGCTCAATTATAGCTTTGTTTTTATTTAAGATTTTTAATCATTTTCTAAATCATCTTTTAAAATTTTTTGTGTGATTACTTCTGTGGCACTTATTGATGTTTAAGGAAATAATTCTAGTCACTTAAGTGGAATATTTTGTTTTTGTTCTTTCATTGGTGCTTAAGAGTTTTTACACAAAAATGTGACTTAGAAATGGTTTAAAATTTACTTTTCTCCCCCAGTTGTTTACATTCTTTTGGCTTCAATAAAGAAGAGGGAAATTTAACCCTTTTTTAATAAACTAACAGGAGCGGCGATGGTACATTTATTCTTAACTAACACGACTGAACTGGGGTGAAGCTCATTTTGAAAATAACACAATGCTAGGTATTTTAAATAGTTACTAGACACTTATAATCAGTCGATATTGTGAATTTGTAATGGTGTGACAGCCAAGGTTACTAAGGTAGTGGTGATTTTCTTACCGCATTAAAATTCATCATGTATAAATTCTAGCGTTGATGTTTGCTGCTCGAGCTGTAACCTGTCAGAGTGGTTTTCTGAAGCCACTGCGCTAACGTCTCCCTGCTTTCCTAGGTCAGCTACTACTTTCCGCTAAAGACTCTGTGGAGGTCCTTCTTTGCTGCCTTGGTGGCTGCCTTCGTTCTGAGATCCATCAATCCATTCGGTAACAGCCGCCTGGTCCTCTTCTACGTGGAGTATCACACTCCATGGTACCTGTTTGAACTGTTTCCCTTTATCCTCCTGGGGGTGTTCGGCGGGCTCTGGGGAGCCTTCTTTATCAGGGCAAACATTGCCTGGTGTCGCCGCCGCAAGTCCACCAAGTTCGGGAAGTACCCGGTCCTCGAGGTCATCGTGGTGGCAGCCATCACCGCGGTGGTTGCCTTCCCCAACCCGTACACACGGCTCAACACCAGCGAGCTGATCAAAGAGCTGTTCACGGACTGTGGGCCGCTGGAGTCGTCCTCCCTGTGTGACTACAGGAACGACATGAATGCCAGCAAGATCGTTGACGACATCCCTGACCGCCCTGCGGGCCTGGGGGTGTATTCCGCCATATGGCAACTGTGCCTGGCTCTCATATTTAAGATCATAATGACTGTGTTCACTTTTGGTATCAAGGTAAGTGTCCATGTGAGGGGGTCCTGAAGTAACCGTGGCGGGTCCAAGACTTGCATGTGGAAAGAGAAACAAAGGTTTTATCTGAAGATTCACAAATACAGGCTGAGAAAGCTGTCTTTGGGGTTTAACTTCTAGTTGTGGGAAAAAGACTTTTTGGCCATCTTGTTGAGCACGGTGTCTGTGCCGTGTATCAGCTTACCCCAAGCCCCGCAGCTTCAGAGAGCTGCTCACCGTGCTCTCGCTGTTGGGTCAGCTGGTGGGGTGCTCGGCTGTGAGGCTGCGTTTGTGGTCAGCTCCGCGGCTGTCTGCTGACACGGCTCGGGCCAGGCATCTCAGAGCCGTCTGTGTGCCAGGCAGCAGGGCTGAGCAGGTTCCAACAGCTGCGGTGGCCCGCCAGGGCTCCTGCCCTGTCTGTCCATCTGTCTGTCTCTCTCCCTGTCTCTGGCTTCTCCTGCGTGGTGGTCTGGGTCGGGGGCGGTGAGGGTGGTAGGTGCCTCTCGTGGCAGCTCAGGGTCCCTGCAGTGAGGGTCCTCAGAGGCCCGTTTCTGGCCCAGCCCGAGATGTCTCCTGCGCACGCTGCCTGTTGCGTCCCGCTTCTCTGCATATGGTCAGCAAGGTCCTGGGTTCCTGGGAGGACACACTCTGTACTTCGGGGGTGGTGTCAGAGTTGTGATCATGTTTTAAAGCCACTATATTAGCTTCCTGTTGGTGCTGTGACAAGTCACCACAAAATCACACACATTTAATACGATCACAGAGATCAGAACTCCAAATTGGATCTCGTTGGGCTGAAGTTACCATGTACGCAGGAGTGACGGAGGTTCTGGGGGAGAATCTGTTTTCATGCCTTTTTCAGCCTCCAGGAGCCTTTGCTCATGGCCCGCTTCCTTCTCTCAGAGCCAGTGTGTCTGGTCACATCTCGTTTTATCTCAACATTCTGACACAACACTTCTAAATTTTTCTTTTGCCTTTAAGAAGCTGTTGTGGTACTTCAGGCCCATCCCTGTCATCCCCAATAACCTGTTTCAAGGTCAGCTGATGAACACCCTGAATCCCTCCCTGTGTACTGCAGACCAGACTCCCAGGAAACAGGGTGTGGCTGTCCAGAGTGGGGAGCCCCCCCTCGGCCTCCTGTGATCCTGCGGAGCAGGCCGCTAAGGCCCCTGCCCTCCTCTGCCCTGGCTGAAGCTCTTAACATGCAGGAGAATGAGATGCCTGTTTGGTCCCTTCTAAGGAGACGTTTTGGGTTACCGTTTCTTTGGGCTGGAGAAGATGGTTTGTTACTCTGTAACTCAGTTATTGGGTCGTTAGGGAGACTGTTAGAGCAAGGGTGTGCTGCAGCTTTATTTTTGCCCTGTGAGAGGAGGGTCCCACTACCCATGCAGGGCAGGTGAGCAGGGAACCTGCCTCACTGAGCGTCAGCCCTGTCGCAGGTCCCGTCCGGCCTGTTCATCCCCAGCATGGCCATTGGCGCCATCGCCGGCCGCATCGTGGGCATCGCGGTGGAGCAGCTGGCCTACTATCACCACGACTGGTTCATCTTTAAGGAGTGGTGTGAGGTCGGCGCTGACTGCATCACCCCCGGCCTGTATGCCATGGTCGGCGCGGCCGCCTGCCTAGGTAAGGAGACTGGGTGTGGGTCTGTCTGGCTGGCGGGCGGGCTGAGAGACGACTGGGGTCAGGGAGCAGGGCCCAGTGGGGCATCGGCCTGCGTAGAACCAGTTTTCATCTTACCTGTCCCTGAAGACGCGTCGGTGCAGAACTGTAGGTGTGGCTAAATTAGCATCATTTCAGCATGTGTGACGCTTAATGGCAGCAAACATCTCCGACAGCATAGGCTTGTTTAGTCCTGTCCGAGGAGTTGCTTGCGCTTTCCGTGGCTTTACCTGTGACCTCTGGCGTGGTTCCTGGGTCCACACTCCAGCAGAGCTGGAGCATCTTCATCCCAGCTCTGCGGTGATGACTGGGAGCCGTAGTAAAAGGTTTCTTTATCAGCCTGCCTCTGCTTAAGGTGCATCGATAGCCGAAGGGAAAAAGGTAGCTTCTGTTTTAATGAAAAGAAAAGCAAAATACTGGCATTAAAGTCCTAAGAATCTATTTCTTATCCTCTTGAACATGAAAATTTACTTTTTTACATTTAAAATGTCAGCGTAATTTTGGCTATAATATTTAGTTATACTTGGTATCTTGACTTAGTTATGCTCAGTGAGTTAAAATTGTGTAGTTATTGACCTTCAGGTGTGTCATAGATGAAAGTGACGGAGAGAGTGGTTCTCTCCAGAGAAGCAGGTGCTCCTCTCTGCCATGGGGAAGTGGGGAATGACACAGAAAGAAATGTGAACACAGGCCCTCCCGCCAGCCGGGCATTGGAGAGCCTCAAGGTGAGCGGCGGCAGGGGCTCGGCTGGGGCGGACATGCACTTTGTTCTGAGGAGCGAGCTTGGCAGGGGGCGACTTCATTCACGAGGCCAGGAGTGTGCAGACAGCAGAGCTGGGATGATGAACCTGGCATTCGTGGGGTCGGAAGAGACTGGCAGTGTTGCAGAGAGAGCATTGTGGGCACCTCGGGAAGTGGAGTTGGGTTGGTGAGGAGGAGCGTGATTCTCATCAGGACAAGTTTGTGTTTGGAATCTGTCAGGTCTGTAGCAGTGTTGTGACTTTGCCATTTTCAACGTGAGGACTCTGGGAAAGTTCCTTTACTTCTTGATTTTTTATTTTCTTCAAAATGGAAGTAATAACTACTTGTCTCTTGCTATTGAGGGTTATATACAATGATATGCATTTAAAACTGTTAGCATAAAAATACCTGATAAAATGTGCATGTAGTTAAAAATAATAGAAGCCTTTCTAAACTGCTTGGGGCATCCGTAACATAATGCGAATATGTCATATATAGTGGGCTCTTTCTGCCTTCTGTTCTTAGGCTAATAACAAAAAGAATGAGGTGAAGCTTGTCACTGCATAACCTGCAGTCCCCTGGTAGGTTGTTGAGCAGAGAAGCAGCGTGGTAGAAGTAGCACTGAGGAGAGGTTAACCTGGAACGCGGCTGGTCAGGTGGAAGGAAGGTACTGGGGCTGCGGTCAGGGAGGGAAGATGAAACAACTCAGGCTGAGGAACAGAGTGCTGAGGGCCGACTAGGCTGGTCGGAGTGAAGATGCTGTGAAAGGAACCTGCATAGACGTTGCAGAGCAAATCTGAGAGGACGAGATGAGAGTCTCGGAATGAATCAAGAGTGGCCACTTGGTTGTCGGGAGGGAAGTGGTGCCCGGCGTCGGCATCAGGGAGGTTGCACGGGGAGCTCTTTGGAGAAGAGGAGGACTTTGGTTCTGAGTGTGTGGTGGTTTCTGTACTAGGGGGTCACCCAAAGTCTTCACAGTTGGAAATGAGGCAAGCACGACTGTATAAGATAAGGTATGAGTAGCTGGAGATGGGGGGCGGACACCACAGTGGGTGGAGAGGCCTGGGCCAGGGAAAGGGTGGGTCCCTGTGGTGGTCTTGTGGACACTGAATGTTCAGATGGACTTAATAAGGGGGTGTTACAGTATTAACAGAGATCACAAGGCGTCCAAATGTTTTTACTCACTTTGCAGAGATTTATTAGAGGACAGATGCATTAATTTAATATTCTACCCACAGGAGTTTAATTTGTAAATGGGTGGTAAATAAGTTAGCTCTAACATGCTTCACTAAACTGTTTTAAGAATTAATCATCAGCTTTCATAGGGGTGAGATTATGTCGCTGTTATAGTGTTAAACCAAAACAGCAGATCATTTTAGCTGGTCAACTGTGGTTTTTGTTTTTTTATCTGAAGTATAACAGGTTTGAAATGTTATGAAGAAGATGGGTGTTTCTCGGGATCTTATCACAATAGTGGTGATCCTTTTCACTAAGTTTGTTTATAGTTTGGGCTCACCTGCCTCGTGGAGCAATTCTGCCACTGTGGGTTGGTGGGGATCCTGTGCTTTCTGACCATGGCCCTTGCTGTTTTTCAGGTGGTGTGACGAGGATGACCGTGTCCTTGGTGGTTATCGTCTTTGAGCTCACGGGAGGCCTGGAGTACATCGTGCCCCTCATGGCTGCTGTGATGACCAGCAAATGGGTGGGCGATGCCTTCGGGAGGGAAGGCATCTATGAAGCCCACATCCGGCTGAACGGGTACCCCTTCCTGGATGCCAAAGAAGAGTTCACCCACACCACCCTGGCTGCCGATGTCATGAGGCCTCGGAGGAGTGACCCCCCGCTGGCCGTGCTGACCCAGGACAACATGACGGTGGATGACATAGAGAACATGATCAACGAGACCAGCTACAATGGTTTTCCCGTCATCATGTCCAGGGAGTCGCAGAGACTCGTGGGCTTTGCCCTCAGAAGAGACCTGACCATTGCCATAGGTACCCTTTTAAAGAAACCCCCACGCGCAGACACACGCCCGTCTCGGACTGGCCCTCGGTGTCTAGGTACCTGGGTGGCCAGATACAAACATACAATAGGTTTTTGAAAGAAAGGGAAACTGTAAAATATAATTTGTTGAGTTTGTGGGGGCAAGTGGTATATTGTGTATCTCTTCATCTCTTAGGATTTTTTTAGGAAAGGAATTTATGCTTCCAAGGGTTGTTTTCCACCTAAATATTGTTTGAACTTTTGATTTGGCATTATTATGAAAGCTTGGAGTCAGACTCTTCTTGCCCAGAAAAGTTTTGTTGACAGCCTTCATAATAACATGAACTAGTACTATGAGGCCTTAGTAACTGTTGAGGTATTCAGCTCATTGTTTGAATGCAAGTTATTGAAAATTCCATCATCTTTGGTCTGTTTCATATCCAATCCACAGGGTATTGCTTTTTAAATTTTGGAATTTAGATTTATACTATTAATTTGTCATATATAGTTTCGAGATAATTGAGATTTTATTTCTGGTTAAGTGCCAGGATAAAAAAGGAAGTCCTCCTATATTCTGTGCTGACATTCCTGAAAATGGATTGATAGTTTAAAGGCATTAGCCATCTGTGTTATTTTTTTTGAGATAAACCATTTCTGAGGAGGAAACCAATTTTGTTCCTCCAAAATGTATTTATCCCCTTTACTTGTAGTCCTGCAGTATTGATGAGGCCGGTAAGACTTCTGCATAATCTGACTCCTTTTCTAGTCTGACTGCTCTTCCCAAACCCCCAGAGGTGACAGAGAGTATTTTCCTCCAGCCATTGCTTTGGTGCTCACTCCCAGTGTGCAGTAGGGGGCTTGGAGCTGAACACGCAGAGCATCCAGCCGATCCCCAAGGGCCACTCCTGTGAACCTGGCGCCTCCCTCCAGCTGCCCTCTCTGGCTGCTGCAGAAGGGTTGTGAAGTGTTTGAGTTCTTGCACCGTTTAAGAGGGAAGGCTGGATGGTGTGATGAGCAGTATTTCTCACATCACACTGGAAGCTGTCAGCTACAAAAGCTATTCACGCACAGACAAGAGAGAAAGTCTGCAGAACAGCCAGTTCACCCGAGGAGATACGGCTTGGAGGCCTTCTGTAGCCCAGTGATCCTGGCACTGTGAGTCCTGCTGGAGGTCACGGAGTAAGGGTTCCAGAGTGTATGGCAGATAGGGCTGCGTCTAGGCGTGTCCACCTCCAAGCCGTCACCATGGCAATGTCAGAGGAGCATTTCCTTGTTTACTTTTTATACGGTAAGGTGTAAGAGTAAACGAAGAAGAAAAGGGTGGGAATTTTGGCGTTTATATAGAAATTTAAAGGAAAAAGCCCAGGTTTTTAAAAGACAAGACAATGGTAAAGTTAAGAATTATTTGTACTCCCATTGATTCTGTGGATATAGTTTTACATATTTTTTATTACTGTCTTGGGAAATAGAATATTGGCATGAGAGGTTGCAGGGACTTGGGGTGCCTTAGGTCTGTGAGTTCTCAAACCCTGTTGTCAGAAAGCTTGGTTACATTGTGGTCTGTTGTACCATACCTTAAATGTTCACACACATATATTTTGCTAAAGTTTTAATTTTTCAATGGGAAAAATAGACCTGTATGCCAGGTTTTTTATGTTATAGACAACATATTATATATGATATAATATGTAGTTTACGTATATTTATATAAACTATAGTATGTAGTTTATTTATGTAAGATATAGTATGTAGTTTAATATATTTATATAAGATATATTGTTTATATATATTTATATAAGATACTTATAAAAATATTTTAGCAAGAAAGAACGCTGGAGTAAGTCATGAGCTGTCTTGTGTCTGGGGATAGGAAAACTCAAGATTTAAAAGACCACTTTTCCCCAGATTTATTTATAAATTCTCCATTTTTATGTCATTTTCATGAAAACTTTTTTTTACTTTATGTGTAGACGGTACATACACATAGTTGAAACTCAAGAAGGTTAAACAGACGTTGAAAAGCTCTCGCCCATGACGTTGTAGCTCTGCAGGCAGGCACTCCGCGGCTTCCGCCGTTTCTGTGGATGGTATTCAGCGCGTCCGTGCATCTGTGTGTGTTTTTCCCTTTTTCTTCTTCAGCAGCAGATTGTATCATTCGCGGTCCTGTGTCTCATCTTCTCCACTGCACGGTGTGTTCTTGGGCCTCTTTCCAGATCACGCTATCTTTAGCAGCTTCAGCGCCAGAGTGGAGGTGCTGTGGAACTCCTCGTGATTATAAGTCAGCTTCCCGGTGAGGGACGTGTGAGAGGCTTCCATTCTGCTCTGATGAACACTGCTTCCTCACACAGCTGATGACCTCACGCGGTTGATGTTTTCTCTGGGCACAGAAGTAGGCAAATCCTGGAAACGGAGTTGTTGAGTCAGAGAGCAACACGTGTGATTTTGTAAGACATTTTCAGACGGTATTAAGTCATGGTTCTGCCACATGCCCTCACCAGGCGTGAACAGCAGTTTACTGTGTTCAGGTTTAGTCCAAATGGAGAGACATGCCTCCTGCTTTTTTGTGTCCAGATGTATTACTGAGGCTGAATGTTGTGTGGGCTTCTTTAAAATGAAGCACAGGATTTCCCTGGTTGCCCAGTGGTTAAGACTCCATGCTGCCCATTCAGGGGGCCCAGGTTCAATCCCTGGTCAGGGAACTAGATCCCACATACCCTGTGGCGTGACCAAAAGATTAATAAAGAAGTAAATAAAAAGCAAAATGAAGCATATGTTTAACAGTACTTACAGTGTGAATGGAATTGTCTTTTCTGTTTCCCACCTTAGGGTGTAAAAGTGCACCTGCTCCTTTCCATGTGTATGCTAGGAACTGTGGGTTTTACAGGGAGCTTGTTCATGTGTAAGAACTTGGAACCTGGGGACACAGTGACCAGGGTCAGAAAGCTGCGTGCATAGGGACAGGCTGCCCCCTCGGGAGCTTCTGTGTGGAGCAGAGCTTTAGCACATCTGGGGGAGACCCTGCTCAGGCTCTTCCCACAGCAGGGTTACCAACCCCAGACTGGGGAATGGTGCTTACTCAGGAATCCGAACGCTAGTCCCTGGACCAGTCTCTGTGTATCTCTTTGTAGGGGTTAAAATGAGCCTTGTACCTGCTCAGGTAGTTGAAACACCATGCTATGAATATAGTGACCTGTTTGCTTTCTAAATTAACACAAGTAAGCCCTTCTTCTGGAAGTGAAGTTCTACATCTGCCTGCACTTCTTAAAAAAAAGTGAATCGTGTCAAAATTCGGGTGGTGATTTCTGCTTCAAAGGCCCTTGAATGACATTCAAAACCCAAATGTAGGAGATGTCCTGGCACTTAGTACGTGTTCAGTAAGAGTGCTTATGTCAATAATGCCGGCCTTCATATAAAAGTGGTGTTCTTCAGACATCATATTGGAGTCCCAGATGGACTCCCTAGGCGTGGGCCTCTGTATCCCGTAGTGAGGGCTGTCTCATTGCTTGTGCAGGTGTAAAGGCCCTTAGTTCCAGGAAATAAGTAAATGAATCACAGTAATCAATGGCGTTTTTCTAAACTCTTCTGGAATTGTTTTATCATTAGATGTATATTTAAGCAGTCTTTCTGCTTGTTTGGACTGATGGTATAATATGTGGTCAGTTAAGATTTCAGGTTGAACACTGGGCTTAGCTTTATAAAGCACTCGGAATGACTGTCATTCATGATGGGCCAGTAACCTGATGCTTCTTTGGGCTGGCAACAGCTCAACAAGCATTTTTCAGAAGTCAGTTGCTGAGGGGCTTTCTTCTCCCCAGTGTCTTCCTCATGCTTTCAAGGTGTTAGGGAGTCCCAGTGTTAGAACCCCGCTGGGCGTTAGGCACGGTGAAGCCGGGCCTTAGTGATCGGAAGGAGTGGAAAGGGTTGCAGCTTGTGTCTGCGAGCTGTGCTCACTGTTCCACGCAGGACTGAGGCTTAGTATGTTTGTTTAAATGTTTTTGTAGCTGAATTTCTGTTCAAAATAATGTTCAGTGTGACAAATACCATATGTGTACACAGTTTTGAATTCACACTGACTCGGCAGTAGGAATGTGAGCGTTTTCATTTTCCTTGGGCGTGCTCTCCCTTTTGTGCGTCTCCTCCTCCCTCCCCCGCGGTCTGCACTCTTCCTCTGCAGTGTTCTGCCTCTTGGCCACGTCCTGTCTCCACATTGAGAGGAGGCAGCAGACGCAGACACAAGGCAGGAGCCCTGGCAGGGCCCCAAAAGCAGGAACTCATGACCCTCACAGATAAACCCTGAAGGTTGGCCAGCGTCCATCCACCCCGCCTCACGGCTCACCTGCGAAATTAAGCTTGAATGCCAGAAAAGAGTGCGAACTAGCTGGTTCACGGCAGGGGACAGACAGTGCGGTCCTGCCAGGGGCGTGGAGTTCTCTGTGGATCCGGCTGCGAGGCAGGAGGTGGGGCGCCCGGCGCGGTGGGCCCCGGAGGGGAGGCTCCCTTAGTGAGAGCTGTCTCATTGCTTGTGCAGGCGTAAAGTCCCATGGTCCCAGCACGTTTCCTGGTCCACGTCAGAGTTAAGACGGCAGCAACGAAAATCATGCCGTGCTAATGATTACAGCAAAAATAGTTTACTTGCACAAAGATGATTTGTTATTAGTGGGTTCTGATTCTGTTGAGTGCAGGAGATCGCAAAATAGCTTTTCAGTGAGGGTTTTTTTCTTGGTTAGGAAGAGAGGGAAAAATGAAGAGGTCAGAAGGATATGTTTGCTCGCCGTTACAAACCTGTGACAAGCAGGTCGCCGTGACAGCAGAAGGAGCCCTGTCAGAGTGTCACGGTGGTCTCCTCTGTCTCTGCAGAAAGCGCCCGGAAGAAGCAGGAGGGGATCGTGGGCAGCTCGCGTGTCTGCTTCGCGCAGCACACCCCGTCCCTGCCGGCCGAGAGCCCCCGGCCACTGAAGCTCCGCAGCATCCTGGATATGAGCCCGTTCACGGTGACGGACCACACGCCCATGGAGATCGTGGTGGACATCTTCCGGAAGCTGGGCCTGCGGCAGTGCCTCGTCACACACAACGGGTGGGTGTGTCCCCCTCGCGTGCGGGGCCCTCGGGGTCGGGGTAGGGGGAGCCCCGTCAGGCCCCTGGGGGAGGTCTGCCGTTCAGGATTAGCCCCTCATAGTCCCACTTACCAAGGGTGGACGAAGTGTTGACTGCCAGGTCTCTGCTGAACCAGGAGCGCTTCAGGGCTGCAGGGAGGTGATGTCCTATGGGGGTTGAGGAGGGGCTGGGGGGCCTCCAGGCTGAGGGGTCCCTTTTCGGACAGCAGTGGACCCCACTGCATGGAGCTCTGCAGCGGCCTGTTCTTGTAGATATTTCATGGTCACAGTCTTCGTCTCTAGGACAGTAATAACTTTCTGGCTGTTTACTATTTGATTTATTGTGTGGTGAGGGAAATTGTGTATAATTAGTCAAATTGATGGATTAGCTGAAAACCTTTTGTAAATGTTCTGTTTCCGCTTTTCTACAGTCTCCATCTGCAAATCCTGTGAATACAGTGCTGGCAGATAAACACTTATGTATTTAAAATGCACACATTGGTTTTCCTGCCCTTCGCACATAACCTGGCCATGTTTCTCCATGTGGGAGTTTGGGGAAGTATGGTCTGCGGGGAGCGGGGAGACCCTGCGCCTCTGCCCCTGGCGCCCGCCTGCTACCTGGCGCTGCTCCGCGCTCCCGGGCCTGGGGTGTGCCTCCCTGCCGCCCTTCTGTCTGGGCCCCTGGTTCCCACCACGCTGTCCTTCCTGCTCGGAGCCCTCAGGACTGTGCTGAGCCTGAAGGCTGAGGACAGCGAGGCTGGTGGAGTAGGCGAGGCGGCTGCCCCGCACCGTGTGAGACTGCGGGAGGACCCAGTGGTCCCACAGCCGTCCTGTGCAGACAGAACACGCCCTCTCCTGGGGACGGCAGGAGGTGGGCGCCTCCGGCTGCAGCCCCTCTGTGGTCCTTCTGCATGGAGATGGTCATCCATGTGGGAAGCTGTGCCCAGGCCCGTGGTCAGCACGGGTAGTCCAGGGAGCAGTAGCCTCCCAGCTCAGAAGTCCTGCCTCTTGCTGTTTGATGTGATTGTTGACCAGTAGAATCCATCTCCTTCTCTGTGATTTCTTTTTTTTTTTGGCCATACCATGCGGTATGTGAGATCTCAGTTCCCCAACCAGGGATGGGACCCATGTCCTCTGCATCGGCAGTACAGAGTCTTCAGCACTGGACCACAGGAAAGTGCCGTGATTTCTTGGACACTGTATTAGCCATAAGGGTCTGGAATACAAATAGTAGCTAAAGAGCATGCCTCATGGCTAGTGTTTGCACTGTGCTAGCCACTGAAGGTAACTCCAAGAAGCAGGGAGGAATCGATGGAGGGATGAGATCTTGATCAGGGGCAGGGAGTTCTATTTTTGTTTTTTTCTCAAGATAAGGGTTTTCTTTTTATTCTATGACAGAGTCCAGGTACAGGTAGTTGTTGGGAGTGGTGGTGGGTCCAGGGTGTCCAGAACACAGTCCCTGGGGCTTCCTTGGCGCTCTGTGGCTGCTCTGAGACTGCAGGACGTCTGGTCGGCTCAGGGCGTTGCAGGCTCACCAGCACTGTCCCTCTCGGCTCTTCTGAGGATTCCCCCCAGAGACGTGCCCTGCAATTCCGCTCATCTGTCGTCCCCCAGAATGCTGCTGCGTGGTCTCTGGATGCACGTGTTGTTGCATAATTTAACATTTAAAACTCGAAGTGTGCTAATAATGGAAAGGTTGAGAATTGACATCAGGCACTCTTAGATTCCTTGGGCGACTTAAATACTCGTCTCTGCACACTCTTCCTGCCACACTGTAACCCTTATCCTTCTTATGAAAGACAGCTCCATGGTCTTCCTCAGCCAGTGCACCTGGCTGGATGTTCACAGTCCAAAGTGTCTCTAGCCTTGAAGGAATCAAGGCTGATCACCTTTCTGGAAACCAGAGGGCAAGTTGTCTGGTTCAAATGCCCTCAGACTGCATTGATGAGAAATAACAAAACAACCACAATAATACTGCTCACAGCGGAGAACAGGAAATACATAGTAGTCAGTGCTGATAACAGTGAGCAAATGATGGTGGGCAGGATACCAAGACCTTACAGGCTTGCCAGGGATTACAGTCAGTTCATTATCCTGCCTTCTATTGATTGTAACCATTTTCTTGAATTATAGTGTTACAAAGAATATTCAGTGAACATTCGTATGCAGTAATTTACATATGCATATCTGAAGAATATGCAGGGAGAAATAGCTGAGAGACATATCAATAACCTCAGATATGCAGATGACACCACCATTATGGCGAAGAACTAAAGAGCCTCTTAATGAAAGTGAAAGAGGAGAGTGAAAAAGCTGGCCTAAAACCGAGCATTAAGAAAACTAAGATCATGGCATCTGGTCCCATCACTTCATGGGAAATAGATGGGGAAACAATGGAAACAGTGACAGACTTTATTTTCTTGGACTCCAAGATCACTGCAGATGGTGACTGCAGCCATGAAATTAAAAGAAGCTTGCTCCTTGGAAGAAAAGCTATGACCAACCTAGACAGCATATTAAAAAGCAGAGACATTACTTTGCCGACAAAGGTCCGTCTAGTCAAAGCTATGGTTTTTCCAGTGATCATGTATGGATGTGAGAGTTGGACTATAAAGAAAGCTGAGCACCGAAGAATTGATGCTTTTGAACTGTGGTGTTGGAGAAGACTCTTGAAAATCCCTTGGACTGCAAGGAGATCCAACCAGTCCATCCTAAAGGAAATCAGTCCTGAATATTCATTGGAAGGACTGATGCTGAAGCTGAAGCTCAAATACTTTGGCCACCTGATATGAAGAACTGACTCATTGGAAAAGACCCTGATGCTGGGAAAGATTGAGGGAAGGAGGAGAAGGGGATGACAAAGGATGAGATGGTTGGATGGCATCACCGACTTGATGGGCATGAGCAAGCTCCGGGAGTTGATGATGGACAGGGAGGCCTGGCATGCTGCAGTCCGTGGGGTTGCAAAGAGTCAACACGACTGAGTGAACAAAATTGATCTGAAGAATAAAGTCCTGAAAGTGAAAAATTTGAAAGTTAATGCATTGAAAATTTAATAGATATTTTCACATTATCATATAAAATAATTTACATTCAATGTTAGCTCATGTTTTGAAGTATCTCTTTTTAGTATAAAGAATTTCATGGTCCCATATGTGACATGATTATAGTTACAGTTTTTGTTGTTTATCGCATAGTGATATCACTGCATTTGAAATGTTTGAATTTTAGTTTTTAAAACAGCATCCCATATTTGAAAACCCATGTTTGTGCATGTATATATAAGATGACTTAGTTGGCTCATTTTGACTTAGTAACTAGTTGTCAAATATGACTGAGTGGACTGCTAAGTTTGGTTTATGTGCTTCATACTTGGGGAGTCATGGCACGAGACCATGAGCTTATGTAGCTACAGGCATGTGGTTTGGCCTCCTAGGGTATTTGGCACTAAATTTTGCACATGGTTGGTTTTCTGCAAATATTAGTTGATTTGTGTATTTTTCATGTTCGTGATTAGTTGCTTCAAATTAAGGTTTTTCTCCTCTCCAACTCACTGTGGGGGAGAAAAGCAGATTCTCACAGCTTTTCTCTTACATCCCTTCCCTAAAATGAGACTTTTTGAGGTTTTCTAAGGATTATTTTTGTTCCATTTATTTTAGTGTAACCATAGGGAAATGAGAAAGTAGGGGAAATCCTCCCACTTGGTGGTTTCCTCCAGTTAACGGGCATCAGCTGGACTGGGATTGAGAGCGGCAGTGGTTCCAGAAAGGCTGGGACAGGAAGGTTGGGGACCGGGGTGAACTGCACGTCAGCTGTCGTGCGACAGTGTAAGCCTGGGTCTGTTTATGTAGGATGTGCCTTGTAGTTACTGATGTGTCGTCAGAAATCTGGATTTTATGTTATTTTATAACTAATGAAAGATGAGTGGCCATTGACCGAACAAGTCTATGTGGTGTGCCGCCTCCAGGTTTGTAACTGGTGTGCAAGGCAGTTTTACGCTCAGGCGGATCTTCAGTGGTGGGCAGAGTGTTGGATGATCAGGTGTCACAGATACTGATGGGAGAAGACGTGTGTGTCAGCAAAATAGCTGTTATTTCCTTTGTTTAGGGTTGTTTAAAGAATAATGGTACCAAAGTTCATTGTTTAAAGCTTAATAGGTACACGCTAAAGGGAGTACCTTTTCGTAAAGCTTTCCGGGTGGGGGTCCCTTTGGCAATAAATGGCTCAGTCGGAAGCCAGGCTGGGTCGTCCTCAACTCTGACCTGCGCGGTGTTGCTCTGCGTGCCTCGCATGGCTGGGCTTCCTCAGTCGTCACCAGTGGGCATGTCCTTGCGCAGTCCTGGTGAGGCACGTCCTGGGCCGTGGCGATCGCTGCCGCCGTGCACTCGGCTGACAGTGCCAGCGCAGGCGCTAGAGAGGAGTGAACGGAGCGGGCGCTGGTAAGGGCGGACAGCTCAGGTTCTCTCTTGAGCCTGCCTGTTCATAAGAGAGCTTGGGGTGGGAGGTGCCGTGGTTACATTTTCCTTATTTTTGTCCTTCAAGGAAAATAGGTTGCTATAAGAAGAGAGCGCATGTCTTCTGCATTTTAGTGGAGAGTCTAATGGTCAGCATGTTAGGGTTTCATACTGAGTCCTTAGAGGTGGAAAACAGCTGTGTGTTTGGGGGAAGAAGACCTGAGGAATCCAGATCTGCATATGAAAGGAGAAAACGAGGTTGTGGGGGAGGGTCTTGCCCATGTTTTGTGTTCTGATAAGCAGAATCTCTCAGAATCCTTCAGCTTTGGTGGAACCAGCAGGACGTTCACAGGAATGGCTCAGAATGAGTTCTGTGGCCATGTGGGTCAGGAAAGAGTTGGATCAAATGCTGTAGAGGTTTCTTTACTGTGGAGCTTTGCACACGGGGTGGACAGTAAGCATGATTTTCCAAATGTGCACCTTTTGGGCGAGGAAGCCGGCGGGCAGAGGGACTCCTGGGCCTGGTGTTTCTGGACACAGATACTCTGGGGCAGCGTGCTGGGTCGAGCCTTATTGCTCTTTCAGCATTGTGCGCCCCCAAGGAAACAGTCATCTTTTACAGGAGTCAGATTTTGCATTAATTTTCCCCATACTTCTGAAATTAATAAAGCGTGACTGAGTTTGTCCTTATTACTCTGAAATCTCTTTTCTCTAGTAACTAAAGAGAGGAAACATACGTATTTCCTCCTTTTATGGCTGTTACTTTGTAAATACAAAGATTACTTTATAATGTATAAGTTTGCTATTTTGTCCTTAATAAATTCATGACTGACCTCATTGCGTACCTCAAGGTTTGGCAGAGCTTACTAACTTAGTAACTGAAGTTAATCATTGTATGTAATCGGGTAGAGAAGAGTAAGAATTAAACTGGGGTTCTTTTACTTAATGTCAAGATGCTCACTTTTCTTGATTGCAACTATATATGCAGGTGAATTGGTGATTGTTTCTCTTCGAACACCTGCTGAGTGGGTGCTTATTTTATGTGGGGCATGTTCTGAGCTATTGGAGGGAGACGTGCTCCCACGTTCTGAGAACTGTTCAGCTTGTCTTTGTTCTTAAGGATAAGTGCGTCGTCATAAAAGATGAGAAGATATTAGCAAAGAAGCAGTTTTTGCCTCTCCCAGTCCCTTCCCTGCCTGCTTCCTGCCCATCCATCCCCAGGCGCCTTCCCTGCCCCGTGACTGACCGCTGTATAAGCAACGTCCTGTGGGCCCAGAGCCCTTGACTGAGCAGGTCCCCTGCTGACGTTCGTTCTTCAGGAAGCCGGGGTGGTCTGAGGCAGTGTGACAGAGAACTGGCCTAGCCAGATGGCAGGGTGTGCTGGAGGGGCTTCCAGAATTGAGAGGAAAGCTTTTAAGGTTCTCAGCGTCCATTGTGTATACTTTCGTAGATTGGAGTTGACTTCATTCACTTCCATTATAAAGGTGGATGCAGTGAGGAGGGCTGGGGGCTGGCCCTTCAGGAATGAGAAGCACTTTCCTCTGTGGAAAGAACATGAAGCTGCAGTTCAGAGTTGGGCAGCTGTGTACTGATGGTGTTTCTTTGTACTTTTTTTTTGGAGTCATCTTCATTTTGAGCTTTTATCATCTTGATTTTTAATTTAAGAAGGACAACTACCTACCAGTATTTAAAGTAGGATCACGTAACTTGCAAAAGCCAGTAGAATTAATGCAGTGGTACCTGGGGTTTCAGAGCACTTGTGTGTGAATTTTTCTGAAGCCCGTCATGTTTTAGCTCTTTCTCGCCCTCTGTATCATGATGGTAGGACCCCTCCCCGAGTCCCCCGCAGTCATTAGCATCACGTGGTCTGTTGCAGGAGCCTCTTGGGGATCATCACCAAGAAGAACATGGTAGCACACCTGGAGGAGCTGACGCGGCGCGCCGAGCCCCTGGTGATCACGCGGCTGCTCCCCAGACTGGGCGGGGGGCGGCTCCGTGCCCTCGCCTCCCCCACCGGGCTTGTTAGACCCTCCTCCTCCTCACACGGCGGGGTGTGCACACCCTGCCCTGGGAAGCAGCATTCCCGCCTCCTGGCCACCACAGCCTCTCCTTGGCTTTAGGACTGTAGGCAGTGTGGTGTGTACAATCCTGCAACAAATATCCCCACTCCAGCCAGGACGCCTGCTCCGCTTCCAGTGAGCCCCCCAACCCCGTCCCTGTCTTTCTTCCCTGGTCTTGGAGTCTGAGCCCACGTGTGCACACGTGGTGTTACCCAGCTCAGCGGCCCACCCGCCCCACACCCCCTCAGTCCCGGGGCCTGGGCTCCAGCACCCTCTGGAGGCTGTTTCTAGAGCTCGGGCAGCGGCTGAGGGTCACGTGTGGTGACTGTACCTGGCAGTGGGTCCCAGTGGAGTCGTGACTAAAGAGGATCTCGAGTGCTTGGATAAGTTGTCTGGCGCTGGCGGTCTCACGCTGGGCCCTTTTGCCTGTGGTTGTCACCCCTCCGTGAGGCCTGTCCCCATAGACTTCAGTCCAGCACTGATCTCCATGCATCCTTTTTGAAGAAACCACTGGCCAGAAAAATAAGTAGCTACTCATCCCTTCTGCTTTCTGCTTCATCTGTAATAATCTTCTAGGACTGCTTCCTGATTTTTTTTTTCACCTACTTTTTAATGTAAGCGTTAACAACTCAGACTTTCATAAAAGCACTGTGCCTTTTTTGACTAAAATCAGAAAAGGAAGACATTGATAACTGTAGTAGAAACTTGGGTCATCCTAGAGATTTATTCTTGGGGTTCTGAAGTTTGTGATTAAAATTCTCTGTTGACCATTTTAAGTGCATTTTACCTGAATTGTATGTGCTTTCATGAAGATTCGACATACAGCAGGGCACTCTTTAAATCAGTTTTTTAAAGACAGTTAATTTTGGCTTTAAAGAAAAGTGCACTCTAAAGGGGACGTGGCCATCATGTTTTCTTCTGTCTCGGCCTGGTGGAAGGAGCTGTCCTCCTCAGCTGGGCTCAGCACTCCTTATTCTGCATTCTGCTCTCTCTCGCTGGCCCATGTGACTCAGAGGCTCTGCCTCCACGGTCTGGCCTTCAGTCTCAGGGCAGGGACACTGAGTGTTTAGGGGCGTCATGCTCGATACCTCCGAGCGTGGGTGCTGGGTGTTGAGTTACTTGACCAAATTGCTTTTTGAAAATACAGACTCGGGCTGATTGCTTTGCTCTCTTTCTGTCATCAGAAAGGATTTAGCTGTGGGTTTAGCTTCTCCTTTCCCTTTCTTTTAACAGCAACCTTCTGCTTGTCCTTTTCAGACGCCTCCTTGGTATCATCACAAAAAAAGACATCCTCCGTCATATGGCCCAGACGGCAAACCAAGACCCCGCCTCCATCATGTTCAACTGAGCCCCGCGGCGGAGGAGGGGGAGGACGCCGGGGAGGAGGCCTGCCTGCTCAGCAGCAGCTCACTCTGACCTGGAAGCAGGACTGGCGGCGGCGGGCTCCGGTGGCGGGGTTTGCGGACGCTGCTGTGGTGCGGGGAGGGGAGGCAGAGGCGAGCAGCGCGTGCCTCCCATCCCAGCCAGTGCACTCAGCCATGGAGGCGGCCCTGACCCGACCCCGCCCTCTCTGGCACTGCAGGGAGGCCGCCAGGCCCCGTGTCAGAAGGGATCCCTCTGAATTGAGCCATCTCTAAGACTGCAAGGTCTTGCCCTTTTTTTTTTTTAATCAAAACTGTTGTGTTTAACTCCTGAACCGTGCAGGTAAAGCATTACCTTTCTACATTCCGGACGAGCTTCTTCCTCTCCCCTCCCCCGCGAGCTGTCACCAAGCCTCTGAATGGTGTGCACGTGGGGAGCAGTCCTTTCTCATATTGAGATGTGCGTGGTCTTACCGGGGTCTTGTCACAGGGAGGGAGTGGGTGCTGTGTCCCCACAAGAGGTGCTTGGGGCAAGCCCGCGTACCACAACCGGGGCGAGGCGCCGTGGAAGCTCTGCGGGGGGGAGGGCGTGCTCGCGGGGTGCAGGGGTTCAGCATCAACCACAGGGGACTTGACTGGGAAGGATGGACAGTTTTCTTCTTGCTTTTCTCACCCTCTCTGACTTGATGGATAATGTGAACTGGTCTTACGCAGATTTTTCTGTTTCTAAATCTCCTATAACACAAGTACTATTGAGCGTAAGGAAATGATGCTGCTTTGATAGTGACAAGAAGGAAGTGTTGTGTCGAGCTGCACCTGCTATGAGTTGCATGTTTAAACACTGGAATTTTCTTTTTCTTGAAATTAGATCAGTCTGGTTTTTTTTCCCCCTTTCCTTAAGGTATTTTACTGCTGACACTGAAGAAGAAATGTAATTCATAACTTGCACTAAATGTATATTTCTTTCTTAAAAATTTACCATTCTTATTTATATTTTTATGGATTAAAATTTATAAAATACAGATCAGTTAATATCACACTTAAATACTTTTACCTTTTTAATGTGATTTTTATAGACTAATTCAGACTTAGAAATATGGAGATATGAACAAAGTTTACAGTGGGAACGAGGGTCTAAGATGTGGTGTGGTTGTTTCTTTGTGATCACACGTGTACGGAAACCTTTTCTCATCTCTCACTGCCATCCTCTGGGTTGTTTCCGGCTTGTCCATTTTGACTCATTAACTGGAAGCTGAAAAACTATGTATTGTTTCGCAGATTAAAAGTTAAATAGTGTTAACCTTAAAAAAGAAAAAGAAAACAATGGAATGGCAGAGGGAGCAGTTAAAATGTTGATCTGAACAGAACTTGTGAATCTTTGTGGAGGTCATGTCCAGGTGTTCAGTGACATTTTGAATCCACGCTGCACTTTTTTGCACAGTGGGCTGAAAATGTACTGGATGTGTTTGGAATTTGGGGTTTTGGAAAATAACCTGTCTTAATCATGGTCTCAATTCACATCAGCAAAGGCAGTTCACTTGAAGCACTGGCCTGAAAATTCTGGATTATGTGTCTTGGGAGGCAAAATGAATTTTTAGAGACAGACATTTTTCTGAAACACATCTTGCAATGAGCTGTTTTTACATTTTGGAAGTGATTGTTCAGTTCTTGATTCTTAATAAACCTGTCAGGTCTGGGAGATCACAGATCTTTGTGATGCTGAGGATTTATAAGATCTCGAAGCCATATTAGAATGACCACTGAGAGTTGAGCAGACATTAGGAATTCCATGACACCTGAGTTTTGCTCTGCCTGCAGTTAGTGCTTTGTCCTGCTTCCCCCTTCTGGCCGCCTGCACACTTGCTTCCCCGTGTGTGGAGACAGCCCTGCCTGAGCCACGGTCAGCTGGTCTCCTCTCAGCCTCTCTTCTGTGCGTTTGCCTGAGGCCCAGCGAGCGTGGGGGCTCCATGGCCACACCGCGTCACACACAGCCTCACACATGGTGTCTGCTTTATCTCCCTCGTTTCCTTTCCGATTTCGGGTCCTGCGTCACCCTGACGTCTCAGGCGGATGCAAATTCTCTCCTGTGTGTCCGTCCTGCTGAGACGCGGGGGCGCTTGTGGCTGTGTCACTCCATCCCGCTTTCCTTCTGGTATGTTGGGTGTGTCTGCGTGTCCGCCCAGTGAGGGGAGTTGGAGGCCATGCGGTGGAAGTGCCCGGCCCAGCGGAGTGCAGGCGGAGCCTCATTGGAGTACCCTTTCTGAGAAGGTATGATGAGAATGGGCAGGGTGTCAGCATCTCTTCTCCTTAATAACTGTTCAGTTCTGACTCATGAATGCCTAGTTTGTTCATCTGCGATGTTGCCTAGAGCTGTATTTATCTGTTTTTATTTATACTAGTGTAGTAGAGCTGCATATCATTACAGTACAAATGGTGACTGTGATGAGTCAATCAGAAAACCTATTAAAATCTATACGACAACGTGTGGTTTGGCCTTTGATTCCCTCGGTCACCGTGCTCCAGGGCCACTGCCGCTGTGTGTGTCGTGTGGCTGGGGCACCCAGCGTGCACCCCCCCGGGGTGTCCTGCGTCTCTCGGGCTGCGAGGCAGTGCTGTCCTCGGCAAGCAGGAGTCACGGGGACCCGGCAGACCCCCGGCTGACTGCAGGGTGTGTGTACCAGCACGCGTGTGGGTGCAGGGACCACACTCCTCAAAGGAGACAGGTAAGTAACCTGCAGACTGTTTCTGAGAGTGCGGTGGTTCGCACACAGAGCTGCCCGCCGGAGGGGAGACAGACACTCTGGAGCGGTGTCCATGCGTCCAGGGCCGTGAGCCTGGTCCTGACGCGCCCAGGACACCTCGTTTTGCTGCCCTCGTGCTGCTCACGTGACGACTGAGCACCAGGTGTGCCCCTGGGACTGCTGGGCACGGGCATCAGATGCTGGTACCTGCCGTGAGCTGCTACTGCGGCTGTCGGGCACATGTGTGGGTGTGACCCCGGGGAGGCTCCTGCTGTTGTGGCCAGTGCCCAGCAGAGCGCCCCCAACCGGGGGAAGGGGCACGACACGGCCTCAGGGGCGGGGATGCTGGGCCTGCGTGACGAGGCGGGGTGAGGTGTGCGCGTGCACGCACAGCGGGCCGACAAGGCTTCCCGTGGGCGGGTGAGGGCACCAGGTAGGTCTGGCACTGGAGGGTCGAGGGCAGGGGCTTGGCCGGGTTGGGATGTCACTTGGCTTGTCTGCACACACAGGACTTGCTGGTGCCGCGGAGCAGAAAGCTCTGTGCTGGTGCCACGGGGCGAATCTGTGGGGACACAGATGAGAGCACTGTCTTGTGTGAGGTTTCACTGCTTCCCCTTTTTTCTTAGCTGGATCATTCTACATGTGCTTGAGAAGTTGTATGGAAGACAGTTTGTAAGCTCCAGGTGTGAGCTAAGTCTGAGTTGGGTGATGGTTTTGTTAAATTGGGTGAAGGTGAAGCTGCTTTTACTCATGAAAGAACCCAGGTACTGGGTGAAAATGCACAGGAAGGCAGGTGGCATCCGGGAGCCACAGCAGCTGATGGAATGGACCTGAAAATGTCTGGTGAGTGAGATTTCAAAGGACCAGGCCTCCAGTGCAGGAAGAAGGTAAGAAGGGGAGGTTTGGTGTCGGACTGGCAGGAGCTCACTCTTGAATGACCAAGTCTCAGTCCTTGGAAGGCCAGCCCCTCCCCAAATGTGTGACCAGCCCTTGGACACAGCTGCTGGGCGTGGAGCCTGGAAGTGTCTTCACAAGCCTGTTCTCAGGAAGCCCTGCTCATAGCTGTAGTCTTCACATTGTAACTGCCATTTTCTTGGCACTGGTGCCCAAACCGTTTTGGCTCCGATATAACAAGCCTGATGAAGATGTGCATGCAGCTGTGTGTGAGGGATGGATGATAAGCTGAATTTTTTTTGGTACCCTTTCATTTATTCTTTGATAAGCAGTCCTGTTGAAATCTGTATTACTGATCACAAGGCAAATTAAAAAAACTTATATTTGAGGTGGCTGGATCAACAAATAGCATGGTTAAAGGAATCTGGAATTTCTAGCTAGCTTCCACTGTCTTAACGGAAGGTACACTTGACATTAAGGTAAACGTGTTAACTATTTCTAAATACTTCTACAATATTAACAAGGACCTTTGAAGGTAAACGTGGAAAGAGCTCAAGTGCTGCTTCAAAGGTTAGACTGTTTTAACACACTCTGTAATGTGTAATGTTTAACACAAGGCGCTTGGCGTTCAGACGCACCCAGGGCCTGCAGGTTGTGCTCAGGGAAGGGACTGCATCTGTCCTCCGAGCCTGGGCCCTCTGGCAGAACGGCCCCATCCTGGATGGGACTGAGGCCCTATCTGCTGCATCTCAGCTGCCTGCGAGAACAGTGCGGCTGTGGGGGTGGGGGGTGCTGGACATGGGCTGCACCTCAGGGGAGTTGTGACTTGTGGGCATGTCATCAGAGCGTTCCCCCGGCGGTCCTGGAGAGACTCCCCCTGGCACCCGCGAGGGGCCCCATGTTCACCAGGCGCACGTCCATTCAAAGGCTCATCAGACTGCAGGAGTGTGTCCTGCACCTGCTGTCCTGAAGACGCCGGGTCTTGGGACTCAGGAGGCAGCGACACAATGACTTTGGAGAGTTCTGTGGGCAGGCCCAGGTGGTCCTACAAGATGGGGGTGAGCCAGGTGACCTCAGCGGGAAAGCTCTGCTACCGGGCCTGTGGCCTGTCCACAGCTTGCTGCTTTGCATCTGACCGTGAGCTCTGAATCTGTAAGGTGAGGGGTGTCTTGTCGGGTTTTGAAAAGGATCTGTATCTGGTGAAACACGGCTCCCCTTGGACTGCACTGGAGACCCGCTGCGTACTTTGTGGTGGGAAACCCTTCTGGTGTGTTGACAGCACCCTGCCCATATCCAGGCCGAGCCCTGGGAGCTGCCCACCTGAAGCTGGGGAGGGGCTGGAGTGGCCCCAAGGCCCCACCCTCGGGGCTGCAGCTCCTGTTAAGCCCTAGTCTCAGGACCCAGCTCCTCCAGGCTCATC